GGAAACACTTACACTTTTGAAGATCTTGGTGAGAAATGAGATGATAGTTGAGAGAAAATCCGAGTTCTGGGCTTGGGAGTGTGTAAAGTGTTGAAAAATGGCCAAGTACCACTTATATAGGGGGGAGTGTATGGCCATGAGGGGGTGTACGACCATACACCCATGTGTACGGCCGTACACTCCTCTTGAAGGAGTGTTTGGCGCGATTTTGCTACTATGAACTTTGGTATCTCATTCCTATACTCTATCCTTGAATGTACAAGACTTGGAACACTCAAACAGACCCTAAACAATGCTAAATGATAGCAGAAACGAGTCCGACTTTGATTGAATTGAATGGCTCATACAAAAGAGAAATTTCGGGTTGTCACACTTAAAATACCTCATGGTATGATATGCATAACACATAAAGCTACATAATATTATTATCAATACAGTTTAACTAAATATGTAGAATCTATTATAGGAACATACTACCTTTGTGATGCGGGTTATACAAATTGTGAAGGTTTTTTAACACCTTATCGCAGGCAACGTTACCATCTTAATGATTGGTCTCGACCACCTACAAATGCTAAAGAATTATATAACATGAGACACTCATCAACAAGGAACGTAATAGAACGATGTTTTGGATTGATTAAATCTAGATGAGCTATTTTATGTGATAATGCATACCATCCAATAAAATCTATGCCACGCATAATCATTGCATGTTGTTTGATGCATAATTTCATACGTACAACCATGACCGAAGACCCCTTTGATCAAGAAATCCCTGCTAATCACACAAAATTTGGAGGCGAACATAACAACATTATTTCTACCATAGAAACCTCGCAAGGATGGACTGACCGTCGAGATCTTCTTGCTAATACTAAGTTTACTGATTGGAGTGCAAGGCGTGCCAACAATTAATTTACTCCATGTTTTTGTGTAAACTTCATTATTCCTTATGTGGTGTTGATACTATGTTTAATGATTGAACTTGTAACACCGTAATTTTTCAAACATATTTTTCATTCTAAAATCGCGTACTTTTCATAGCATATTGTATAGAAATCTCGTTTATTCAAATTACAAAACACAACTCCATTAGTAATCCAGGATCCTCAAAACATTACTCTCTCTCTGGTGTGTACAATCAAGCCGGTGCCTTCCCGAGATCCTCTGAGATACCTGAAACACATAACACATAACACGGTAAGCACGAAGCTTAGTGAGTTCCCCAAGATACCACATATTACACATATTAGCCACTCGAGGCTATAACTCTGTGAGCCTACTGGCCCTAACTCTGTGGACCCTCTGGTCCTAGCTCTGTGGACCTTCCGGTCCTAACTCTGTAAACTCTGGAATACACACATCATAAATCACATAGAAATAATGCAGTGCAACACATCACATACATAACAGACAAGATACTCTGTCACATAACTCTACTTACCACTCAAGGTAAAGTATAGTGAGAAGACTCACCTCACATGATGTCGGATACCCTCTCGTGCTCGATAATCCGACCTAGCCTCCTCCTATCAAAATGATAACATCTCTAATCAAAATCCTCTCATGTTCTCATCCCTAATAATGGGTAGAAGACCATTCTACCCCTCTCTGACCTCTCTTGAATCAGCTTGACCAAAACCCCAATGTCAACTGAAGTCAACTCTAGTCAACGGTCAAACTTTGACCAGACTCGTCGAGTGCACTCGAGTGACTCGGCGAGTCCGTGCGTGTCCTCTGAATCCTCAAAAGCCTCACTCGACTCGTCGAGTTAACCTTTCACTCGACGGGTTACCACTGGTCACGAATCGCGGGGCAACCCGACTCGACTCGTCGAGTCCCCATATGGACTCAGCGAGTTCCCTCCATGGCAACACTCAAAAGACCTTCTGAGGTCAGATCTGTTTCTCTAACTTATAGATCTGACCTTCTTACACCCAATAATCACGTAAAGGTTCAATCTTTAAGCTCATGCAACCCTCTTATCCCCTTATGTGAAGAAATAGCTCCTAAAATGGCAACCTAGATCCATAACCCCAAAGGGATTGCATAAAGCTGGAAGATTGGGACTCTCTGGACCTCTTAAGGTCCAGATCTAAAGCTTATTCCACATTGGGACCTCATATGCATCATATACTATCCAAGAAAGGGTAAAGAAAACCCTAGATTCAAGGATTTTACACAAAAACAGAAGGAAGGGCGAAATACTACCTCAAAATGGAGATCCTTGCTTAGATGTCTCAGGATAACAACCTCCTTTGGTCCCTCAAGCTGAATCCCTTCACTTCATTTGAAAAACTACACCAAAATTACTTGATTTCATCACAAGAACTCTTCCTTGGCTCCAATGGCGATTTAGGGTTTCTCACAGGAGATATGAGGCGCACCCAAGGTCATAAGTTCCTTTAAATAGGCTCCAACCCCGGAACTTAGGGTTTTCTCTGCCCAGTACCTACTCGGAGAGTCCATCCTTGGACTCGTCGAGTCCGCTCATTAAGTCCACGCGGCAAATCTCGACTCGACTCGGCGAGTTGGTCCCTCAACTCGTCGTGTCCCTCCTCAAATCTCAAGATTAACATACACAATAATGTCCCTGTAAATCCGGTTGTTACAATTGAACAACTCTATTATTATTTCATTATTCTGGTTTATATATTGTATTCAGTATGTGGTGTGATTATATTTTTTAGTTTGGATTTATTTGTAACTTCATAAAAAAAATGTTGTTTGAAAATGAATAAATAAGGTAAAAAAAATCTCATTTCCATTTCACTGCTTAATACAACCAAACAAAAGAAATGATTCTCAGAAACATTTTTCTAGTGGATTCTCAGTTCTACCAAACAGTGGAATCAATTCTCTGTCTCCAGCTTAATTTTCTTTCTCTGCATTTCCATTCTCTACTGCAATTTCATTTCTTTATACCAAACGCATCCACCAAATAGTTCTCAGTTTTATGTTTGTAAGCATTTACTTAAATATTTGGAATTGACACTTTTAATGTGTATTATTAGACACATTTACCATATTATTAGACAATGTTCGTTAGTAATATATTTGTATTTGATACGATGTTTATTAGTTTTAGTGCAATGTTATAAGTTTTGTTAGTAATTTCAATATTATTATAAGTTTAATGTTATGAGTTTTTTTTTTCAATATCTTGGACCAAAAAAAAAAAAAACCTGGAGTTCTTCATTTTTTTGTTGTTTAAAAAAAACAGTAATTACTGACGGGTTACTGGGAAATGTATATCAAAGTGTCATCGGAAATCCGTCGGTAACTTGGTCAAACAAGGTCCAACCCGCTTCCGTCGCTATTATGTAGCTATTCTGTCGGTGATTCTATGTCGTCGGTTTTCCGTCCGTAAATTACCGACGGATTTTGTCATCGGTATCCGTCTGTAATCCTTCAGCAACCCGTAAGAAAAATTAGCCTCGAGCAAAAAAGTTACGCACTGAATTTCGTCACAAATCCGTCCGTATCACCCTATTTCGACGGAATAGACTCATTATTCCATAGATAATTTCCGATTTTTTAGTAGTATTATGACATATTTGACCTAATTTCAGCAAGTGAGGACATCTCAGGTGCAACTTGTATAGCATAATCATACTTCAATAAAGTCTAATCATACAAATCATCTCCAAATAACTTGATTCAGTTGCACTAAATGAATCTTCAATCTCTAATGACATCAAATATTAAGAAAATTGAACAGATAGGTGAATGGGAAGACACAAAAATATAACTGAATATGCCTCTACCATTCAAGGACATTAAAAAATAACACTAAAATAGACATTAATCAACGATTCCCGTAACCCTTTCACAATAGGAAACAAAACAAATCTATACATCCACATATCTCTTATTAATCGCCAAGTAAAACCTTGAGCATTTCAAAAGGGGTTTCTCGATAACTAACATAAGTTCATGGATCTGTTAATTTCACCTATGTGGAAGAAACAGAATAGCTAGTAAGTTCAAAAAATATAATAAATAGCAAATAAATAAAAATTTAACCAAGAACCCATGTTTCGAGGGTTAATTGCTGATATTAATCTTTATAATTTAAGATGAATTGTGTGATGTAAAACCGAAATCCAACATACAAAGTATAAACAATGACTCTTACCCAATGGTAGTTTCCTAAACAGTATTCAAGCCACAGAGAAGAAAATATACTTTAATTCCACAAAAAATTCAAAAAATGGACTCTAAGTTTTAAGCCATAGATGGAACTAATATTTAAAACCCAGTTAAGATAAGAACTGGAAATTCTAATTTACTCTTCTAACCTCATCCGAATTGATTAATAAAACATATTCATAATAGATCATGATGAAGAACAAATGAATGAACCTTTGCTTACCTTGAATCGCATTTTTTTCTTTGATGCCTTCAATCTCAAGGTCGCAGCTGCATACTGTGAAACAAAATTGAAAATATTGGGCCAAGGATTATTACATATACCCAATATACATGGCGTCGCCCCAAGAGGGTTTACTTTGTAAAAGAAAACGGAAAATATAAAACCGTACTCACGTCTTGTGCCATTTCAAGACGAATGAATAAAGAAATACCAATGGAAAATTTTAACTTTTCTCTTCAAACGTTGAAACACAAGACATTTGAGCGTCTTAGTGGTGCTTTATGCTTTATTAGTTGATGCAAAAGCTTTACTCCGTTAACTTCGATAACCTTAATTGCACATGAAGAACAGATAGGAACTTACATACGTAACAAGGCAGCTGGCAGAGAAGGCGACGTCGAACAGCAATGGGCGTCTAGGACGAATGCTATCTGTATATTTTAAGGTTTATTTATTTTTTATTATTATTATTTTAAGATAATGGACCTCATCCAAACGCAAAAACTTAAATAAAGAAATAAAAAAAATGGAAAAACCACGTCTCAAAATGATACTGTATAAGAAAGTTAACCTGTCCATTCTTTATCGATTCTCAAACACCTCGGATAACTAGAGGCCAGAAATGAGAATACGAGGGGACTTTGGAATGCCAGCCACCGATCCCAATTCCCAAAACATTTTTGTCATGTCTGTTTGTGTTGACTTTGGATATGATAATTTTATAAACATATATAAGAAGATGTTTGATTACTATATAAAAGCACAAACAAAGTGTAAATGTAACCTACTTTCATTTGAATTCTTTATACACGTATTATTTTTTCCGTCAAAGTCGCAAGAGGTTCAAGAACAATAAGGTATAACTTCAAATCTTTAACGGTTTCTCCAATATTTTTTGGCCCAATCACTAACTCGTTTAACATTAAATAACTAGCTTCACTTCAATGGCATCATTACTTCACAATACGCGTGAATTGAAAACATTTGTGGTGGATGAAGGCCATGGTGTTAAGGGACTATCTGAACTCAAGATCAAATCTTTACCTGAATTATTCATTCAACCTGTAGAAAAACGCCTCGATATGAGCAAAGTTGTGCCATATGAGTCTATCCCGGTGATCGATATGTCGAATTCTGACGATTTAAAGGTAAGGGAAGCAATATGTGATGCAGCTGAAAAGTGGGGATTCTTCCAAATTATTAACCATGGAGTGCCTCTAAGCATAATCGATAACGTGAAAGATGCAACACATAAATTTTTCATGTTGCCACCCGAAGAGAAAAAGAAGTATTTGTTCAAGAATAGTCCTACCAAAAACGTTAGACTTGTTACGAGTTTCATTCCTGAAGTGGACACAGTTTTGGAGTGGAAAGATTACCTAAGTTGTTTCTATGTTTCCGATGATGAGGCCAATTCATTTTGGCCATCAGTTTGCAGGTAAATTCTCATATATATCTTTAGAAATGAATGCGTCTTAATAATCATCGTTTGTCTCCTAGGTCAAGCTTTTAAACAAAAACAAAGTGTTGTTCATGGTTGATGGACTATAGATATTAAACTTTGTTTTCTTAAATTATATGTTGCAACATGGCCGATTCATGTTGATTGATTCACTGACAGTTTTTGTCGTTCTTTTAATTTCTTAGTTATATTAAATATATGAGATCAAGAAACATGGAAAACATGAAAAATCCGGTTCAAAAAAGAAACATGGAAAAGATTGAATCCTTTTCCTTTTGACCTAACTTTTCTAATTAGCAATATTTGACTTGTCGACAATAAAACATAACATAGATTGATGTATTACCTATAGCATGAAAAAGGCTAAAATTTCTTCTACTGATATTGTTTCTTCTACAGGGATCAAGTTCTAGAATACTTGAAAAATTCTGAATCGCTTATCAAGAGGCTATTAGAAGCGTTGATAAAGAGATTGGACATACCAAAACTGGACGATAAAAACAAAAGCAATTCTTATGGGATCGATGCGAATAAACCTAAACTACTACCCTGTGTGTCCGAATCCTGAGCTTACAGTTGGCGTTGGAGGCCATTCAGATGTTTCAACACTAACTGTGCTCCTTCAAGATGAAACTGGAGGACTTTATGTTCGTAAACTTGATAGCGAGAATTGGGTCCATGTCCCTCCTATTAAGGGATCTTTGACAATCAATATAGGCGATGCTCTTCAAATCATGAGCAATGGTCTATACAAGAGCATAGAACATCATGTGGTTGCTAATGGGAACAAAAATCGTATTTCAGTGCCGATTTTTGTGAACCCGAGGCCAAATGATGTCATTGGGCCATTACCACAAGTGATCAATAGAGGGGAGAAGGCTTTATATAAGCAAGTTCTTTATTCAGATTATGTGAAGCATTTTTACAGGAAATCACATAATGGGAAGGATACTATTGATTTTGCAAAGGTTTGATTGAGTTTTTCTAAAAACAAAGATATGTGAATTTAGATCTATAATATGTACGTCATATATACTAGATTGGTAGTCGAATAATGTACGCCAAGTGAAAGTTAAGTGAAGCTTTCACAAGGATGTTTTCACCTTTAGATGAATGAATTTCAAATATGGTGAATTCTTGTAAAAAGAAAAAATTGTAACTTATGTAATTTTTAGTTTTAATATTATAATATTCATCATTTTATCTTAACATCTTTTAAAATTTTAAATTCTGCAGATAATTAAAATTAAAACTTTTTCACCCAATTAATCTATAATTTTTTTTTTGGTTAATTTAACATTTATTTTCATTTTATAAGTTTTGGAAAATATTAATATATAGTAGTGATTTCAAAGTTGTTATACAATCATAACTGTCATATGAATAGAATGAGTTCTAGGTTGAGACTTACGTTAATCTTGTAACATATTATAAAAACAAAACTTGTACTTCAAGATTTGAATATACAAAATCCACAGCAACCTAATCCTGACGGATATATTTACTCAATTCTTGTAATAGTGAAGACCAAACCTTTGTTTTTCACGTTTGACAAACAACAAAATGATATTAAATATCGTTTATATAAATGTAAAAGAAAGCCAAGAATTCCAAATTAAGTAAATGATATGGTTTGTAATGTAGTTCTCAATGAAAAGATCGATAAGTTTTATACTTAAGATATTATATATGGAGATGTTAACTGTTCTCCTTGGCAGCATGGTTAAGAAAGTTGAAAGTAACTAAAAATGGTAGGATAATTACATTTGTTTTAGGAATGGTTTTCTTTTGTTTTGAGTATTTATAGTTGGCATAAACACCGCCAAAAAGGCAAGCTTCGAAAATAGTACTCTTCTTCTTTCTATTTTGCTTTCTCTTCTGATGGAGTCATTGCTCACTCAGAGAGTCTGGGTTAAAACGTATCAACTGGTACTTTCATTGATGGACGAATTAAGTCACCTGTCGACTACTATTGAAAGAGCAAGCTGAGATGATCTGAACCAAAAGATCGAGCAACTATCTATACCCTTATAGACAGCTAAACAACACAAGTTGCTGGGATGCAACGGAGATCAAGGAGCAACAATCCACAAATCCATGTGATTGGACGAAAACCTTCAATGGCACTGAACTAATGACCTAGATTTTTTTGCAATGGAGGAATTCTTCGGCCTCCATTGGACAAAACCAGATCAACGACTCCGTATTGTCGGATTCAATCAAGCAGAGATGCCGAATAGTGGTTTCATTGGATGAGACGGAATAACATGATTACAACTTGGGAAAGTTTTATGGACAACATTCGAACCTGTTTCGGACTTTCTAAGTATGAAGACCCGCAAGGATCACAAGATTTTGAACCTATAGGGATGACAAAAATCGTCTCTATAGAGTGCAAAGTGGTCGCCATAGACCTCAACGTCGACTTGTCGTCGCCATAGACTTTGTTGCCGTAGGTTCGTCGCTTTAGGTTGTATTGTCGTCGCCATAGCCTTCGTCGCTGTAGCCCCCCCTTATAGTGACGACAAACCGTCCATATATAGCGACCAATAGAGATGATATATTGTCGCCATAGTTACCCATATAGCGATATCGTATTTTCGCCATAGCCTCACCTATAGCGACGACATATTATTGCTGTAAGTACACCTATAGCGACGATAAGTCGCCCCTATAGGTGATTCACAGTTTTACACATTTTTTACCACCCCTGTGTTAAATTTCCAAGAAATTTATATACAATGAAATTTTCATATAATATATAACCAAAAACAGTTAATTTAAATCTAAATCATTCCAAATACCATACCATCCAAAGTTTTAAAATATCTTACATGCTCAGTTTACCAAAAATGAAGAACCAAATTTGAATTTGTTCAGATGTTTCATACAAACCAAACTAAAACAAACAACCTAATTATCAGATCCACTAGAACTACTTACCCATTCTTTATTTTCATCATCTTCATTTTCATATCCTCGACTTTCTTCATCTTCTTCATTGACATCATGACCGTTTGGAACTTGTAGTCGGGAATGATCAAAAGTAAATTGAAATTGTGGTGGTTGGGCGTTTGGATTTTGAGATAAGAAAATTTGATGCATCTGTTTGGTAAATTGTTGACTCATTTGTTGAGTCAACTCTTGAGCAAATGCATTGAAGTTTTGGGCATTGGTTGATGTACTTGGCACATAATATGGTGTTATATTTTTCATTTTTCTTCCAACACCTCTTGTATGATCGCTTCTTTCTCCAAGTGCACGCTTGAAGCATTCTGTCTGATCAACCAATGAATCATCACCATCAACCTCTTCTAACATTTTCCTATACTCTTCCATAATTTTACCCTACAATTAACATTTATTAGTTATTTTTCCTAAAATTTGGCAGCATAGCTATAAAAAGAAAAAAACTAACCTGTTCAAAGTATATAAATAATAAGAATAACAATTTCAAAATTTGAATAAATCTACTTGTAAATATATGCAATCTATTTTAAATAACAATATAAAAAACTTACTCTAAATTCCATATGAATAATTTACATAAAATAACAACATACTAAAAGTACGTAAATACCACTTTTACTTACCCAATCTTGTTGAGCCTGTGGGTGACACCATCATTTTCATTCCTTAAAGTGACGTTTCTTCTATCCATCAATGTGGTTTGCCCTTCCAGATTCTTTTTTCTACAAAAAGCCACAAAAGCTATTACTAATATTTCATAGAAAGTGTTGAAAAACCCTTAAATAACAATAAAAAAAAATCTTACTTCCTTATGCCGCTTTTGGGCATAGGATTCAGCACCATAGGAACTTCCGTACACCTGTTTTCCCTTGTTATCTATATTTTTTACAGAACGGTTTTGATAGTTGTCACACCCCGGAACCGATGGCGGAAACGTTCCGGGGCAGAGTGATGTCATGTGTAGTATCACAACAGTTGTATCATAGTAAGCAAAGTAAACACAACCATTACATTATAATATGAATATTTACATTGTTCAAAAACATGGTTTATACATAGCAGTATATAACAAAAGTAAAAGACGTGACTCCAAAACGCTCCGTCTTCTCCAAAAGTTGGCAAAAGTACCTGTCTATTGTTGCCCTGAGAATACAAGCAGTTTTAAAAATACCAGCATAAAGCTGGTGAGTTCATAAGCGTTTAGTTCTGGTGAAAGAAATGTTTCTTTGATCCTTTGAAAAGTGTTTCTCAAGAAAATCCTATATTTTCTTATGAAAGATGTTTGATTATCCATATGTTAAACAGCCTGTTTACGAAAGGTCGAGTTATCCCAGGAAAATCCTATATTTTCCTTAAAAGTTGATAGTTGGTTTTCTATTCTGGAATGAGGTGTACAAGTATCTACCATACTTGTATCGTTAGATGTAGTTTCCTTGAAAAACCCAGTTTGCTCTCTGTGAGATGTATTAGCCTTATTACATAAATAAAACTAATAAAATAGGTAGTGAACTAGATCCTAAGGGTATTATTAATTCCCTCTAGTAATTAAATCGGTTATTACTTTGAGGTTAGTTCACTTGTTTCATTATTACAAAAGTAAATTTTTGCTACCTAAGTTGTGAGTGTCATAACCGTACTTAGACTGGATAACGCACGTAACGGGGCCAATATATTTTTATGACTTTGTCACCCCTGAACCTAATGGTCCCGCTGTAGCTAGCAGCGAATGCGGGATAGTCAGTCCCATATAGATCTATACACAATAGTCACGCTCTCCCTCCAAGAGATTCTGGTTACAAGGGTTAGTCCTACACTCCCGTATCCAGTGGAGTGTTACCAAGGAGGTGTCTCAAAACTTAGCTTAACAAATTTACGAGTAATAATACTGAAAATCATGTTTATTTTTTGTATGAATCCTTTGCAAAATATCACATTTTATGACAAGATTCACAAGTTCCTTTTGATTCTATAAAACTGGTAATGAAATCCCCAAACTATACTTATTATAGTTTGATTGATAAGTTATGTTTATGAACTATTCGGAAAACTATGCAATTATGTTTAGAAAACGTCCCTTATGCTCTGCATATTACAAAAGGGATAAAGTATCTAAATGTTTAATGTAAAACCATTGTAATTGCATCAGTTTTTAAGTTGCGAAAACCTTTATGTTTGGCTTGTATTCCCCCCCCTGAAAACGTTATAAAAACTTATAAAAGCGTAGGGGTATGAACTCACTGTTTGACGTAGGATCTGGGTGTATGATTGGTTATGATTGCTGGGTGTCAACCGGTGTTTCGTACGCAAGTGGATCCTATTAACATGTGATAACACATATGTGTGTTAGAAATTGGGTGTTTCATGACTAAACATGACGGGAAACCACCCTAAAGACTTGGAGATGTTTGGTCGGGACCCTATATGATCAAACGAGGGAGGTGTACGGCCAAAAGGGTGTGTGTGCGGCCAGGGTGTGCAGTCAGCATGTGTGTGCGGTTGCACACAAGACTGTGCGGCCGTACAGAGGGTGTGTGCGGCCGTACACAGGAGTGTGCGGCCATACACTCCTCATTTGTGCCCGAAATGTCGATTTTTAGATGTTCTAGTGCTAATACCAAGTCCTACTAGTGAATGAAGTCCAAACTCTTCACTTTGGAGAGCTTTAAGGTGTGTACGGCCACCTTATGAAGGTGTGCGGCCGTACACCTTCAAAGGATGAAGAACACGAAGAACACTATGAGTTTTAGGCTTAGATTCAGGTGTCTTACCATTATAACAAGTTGAATGATGGAGTAATTCACGTTCTTGAGGCCCTTAGAGTGTTCTTGGATGAAGTTTTTAGAGAGAGAAAGTAGAGAGAGAAAGTAGAGTGGAGCCAAATGAAAAGAATGAGTGGAGGGGGTCACCTTATATATATACGACTTGTTGACTCATTTCTAATCTCCACATTGGTTGTACTCAAGCTTAGAACACTTAAACGGACCCTTAAACGGTAATAAAATGTGACGGATTCGAGTTTAACCTTGATAGAAGTTCCGGGTTGTCACATTATCCCCCCGTTAGAGGGAATTTCGTCCCGAAATTCAGGCATAGAATACAAATGGCGGACTTGGAAAAAGATGATGATGATCCTTCCACGAAGTGTAGGCTCTCTTCTAGCTCTGAGCGGTCTTCGTCCTGAAGTTCATGATATGACTCATACCTAGCCCACCCATCATTGTCTTGTGTACACAAGTCGTATATAATTAAGATTAATAGGATGGTCGGATGGGTGACTCTGCCCCAGGTCCACAACCAAACAAGGAACAGGAGATAGGGCGGAAACACACATCCTAAGTCCGTAGGATCTTAATTATATACCACCCTCGCGTGTACATTTAACATTGATAGGCTAACCGTATTTGTCCCTAGTCTCTGTGCTTGAACTTGGCTTACTGTGCGAGTGGGAATCCTAGATTGGTCTATCAAGAATGTTTAAGGAAGGTTGTGGGTGGATGACATACTTTTCACGTTCATACTTTTGGGTTCTGGAAGGGAGATGTACTTTTTCGAAGTTCGCATCTGGTTTGTCGTCACGAGCGATAGGAGTTTCGCGATTGAACGATTTAAGACAAAAGGGTTTGATATAACATAGACTCAGTCGGACTAAACAAGATGTCATCGTAGAATCGCACGTTAAGTTGGTTTGGAAGGATCGCTTTGTTAGAACATTGATGCCCCTGGGTGAATGCCTATGGTGTTTTCTGTGTTTGACTCGAAGTTAACAGGTTCTACTAATACGAGGGTTCTGATGTTTTGAAACTATGAACTTTCATGAAATGGTTCTTACTAGATCTCTCTATGATCGTTTGGTGTACACAAGCAGTGTATAGTTACAACTGACCCCGGTGAATTCACTAAGCTATCATAATTTGCTCATTAGGGCTTTAAACCTTATAAAGATTTCGTGATTTAACCTGGACGAGAAAGTAATCACAATTATGAACAATTATCAGGATTTTCGAAAACATACTAAAATGTGGCAGGGTCCTTCGATGCTTCCTCACTCTCGGAGGTTAGGCTCCTCCTGTTTCCTCATTGTTCTTCTCTGTTGGGCAATCTCCTTTGAGATGTCCCATTTCGCCACATACGCAGCACACTTAGACTATGCTAGCATCAGTAGTGGAAGTGATGTGTTAGGTTGGGGTCTGTACGGAGCAAGTTTCCTGGCCATCCTTAATCCTTGGACAATTTATTTTGTAATGTCCGGGTTCACCACAATTGTAGCAAACCTGGCCCACCTGTATGCCAGGAATCGAGGTGTTTGGCTGTGCAGGTGCCCTGCAGTAACGGGTGGTGTGTCCTTGTCTGTTGCAGTTCTTACAATGAAGTGTTCGGCACTTCCCTACGTGGTGGAAGTTGCATTTCTCGCAGCTTGGGAGTTTTTCCAGCGTATTGCGGCATTGGCGTTGGCACTGGTTTGGTGGATGTGGTGGCTGTAGGAGTTATCTCGAGTTGTCGTTTCTTGGCAAGTTTCTGAGACGACTTGTTCTTCCTCTCGGACCAAAATTTCCGTTTGGCGCTCTTAGGTTTGGGAGCTGGAATGTTCTCTTGGACAAGCCCTTGTTGATTTCCTGGTGTGCTGCTACAATTCGAGGTGTGGAAGTTGTTCCCATTCCCATTTGGGTTGTTGGCATTAAAAGAACAGCTAGAGCGTCTGCTACAGCTGCAGTGACAGTAGCTTGGAACATAGCTGAGTCCATCTGGAGGATTGGTGCCTTACTGCTGGATTGGTTCTGCTTCTTCGGAGGCATGATCTGCTATATGTCAAGAAAAGAGTTTGTGAGCAACAATGGTTGCCTCTGGATGCATCCTAAATGTTTGTCTATGCATTGATATTTTCCGTTTTGCTAACTGACTTTCTTTGGTTCGACCCACATCCCCATGATGTGGTCTTAGCAAGGATAGAAACGATTTGAGCACACAAAGTTCACATAAAATAGTTTTAAGAACTCTTGTTTGCTCAGCCCATCGGGCTGGCTGAGTAATTCTCCCATTTCTTCGGTTCCAGATGAGATGAAGGGCTAGCTATAAGGGTAGCTACGGGTATCAAGTCGATACGGGATTCATCTTGATGCTCGGGAGAAATCCCTGGAATGTCTTTGGGGAAGACATCGGGAAAGTTGCGGACTTCAGAAATGCTCTCGAGGTCTTTAACTTTTTGCGTCTCATCGACAACACGAGCCAGGAATGCATAACATTCCTTTCGTAGAAGCTCCTAGGCTTTGACGCAGGAAATGATACGAAGGTTCGAACAATCTTATCACTGAAACCAGTGAGGACTCCGTCAGAGGGACGATTGAGACAAATCA